GCTGCATTTTTCATGATGGCATTTTTGTCTGAAGATATCGATACATAGTTTTTGAGCGTTGAAGTTATTCCCACGTTTCTGTTACGATCAATCTCCACACCATCCAGTTCATAACGGATCTCATCAAACATGAATGCAACGCCATTATATCCCAACGTTACAGTCGCACCATCGACTGCAACTTGTTTCGTCACCTTCCCCTCGACATATAGATAACTCTCACATGGCAATATATATAAATCCTGCTGCTGTATGGGTATTCGTATCTCGTCGCTATGTCCAAACGTTGTGTTAGCGTATGGATTGTACGTATGTGTCTCAATCTTGACGATGCGCTCGTCAAAGACCGGTTCATTTCCAATGTTCAAAATGTCAATCATCTTTCTCAATCGTTTCGTACAATGAATCCCAGAGATTTCAAAAATTCAACGTTCAACGCGCTGAGTTTCTTTCGAACGAGGGATTTTGTACTGTTAATTGCGCGTCTCGTAAAAAGTATATTTCCAGCTTGTTTCACCTATTCCACTTGATTCACCACAAGCATTTCATAGATTACGTTTATTATCGTCGCCGTCGTACGTGCAATCTAATCTCTTCTCCTCGAAAATCGAGCGATTGTCCTTCTTGATCAACTACACGCACCGTTAAATCTGTAATGCTCCGTGCGATGATTGGAAGATAAATGACATGTGTCGGTGTTTCCGATATCTTATATCCTGGTGGCACCTTAGGCGAGAATTCATGTATCGTATGTACACGCATACTGTTACTGTACGCACCACTGACAATGCTGCATTCTATACGAATGATATTCACGTTGATAATCTTAATCGGTGCGTCCGATTCTTACCATCGATGCGGTTCTAATATACGACTTGATGAGAATCCCAAAAGCGAGCCAATGTTGTTTGGTTTGTTAAAATTTATTCTATAAGCACATTTTATTTCACTCCTCATAGTATTATTATTGGCACGAATTATTATAGGATATTCATTCTCGTCATCTCTATATGGATTATTTTTGGAATGCACTGCTTTTGGAGAATGTGAAATTGCACGTTTCAAATATTCGTATATGGCGCGCAATTCGTACGATCCTTCAGGAATCGTAATTTCTTCATCGTTAGCACCATAGTAAAATTTATTATTCGACGAATTTACGTTTGGTATCGTATTGTATGCTTCGAAATCCGTTAAACCGAGCTCGTAATCACCATCGCTCAAATCTATAGCGGAAAAGTAGCTCACCGTAAGGGTGTTACTGTTGCCAGTCAACGTAAGCGTTAGCGACATGTTTGCAAACTGCCGAACGAATACTGACTGCTGTTAGTGGAATGTCATTATCATCATTTGAATTGATCCTCTACCGTTTGGAGAAACTGCAAGCACAATTGTCCGCAAATGCTCTGATTGTAATGTTGATATGATGTGCGATTGTACAAAATTTTCACTACATCTCTCTCAAGGTATCGAATCAATTCCTTGGGCGGTCGAAGATTACCAAAACTATACTGCGCGATTTCCTCTTTTCGCATACGCCACCCAGTGAGTACCTGGTCCCTCTGTGTTGTCTAAATTTACAATACCGCTCTCGTTTTGACGTACTTCATCTATTGGTAAAGCGTCACGCATGAAAACACCTCGAAAGAAAGATATACGCATACGCCTCGCTAGTCTTTCCAACTGTACATTAGTCATTGCACCCGTGGGTAATTTTAGCGTTTTTTTGACGTTTTTTTTTTTTTCTGCAGCGCCTTTCCCATGCTTGTACGGAGCAAGATAGATTCCGCGACCTTTCGTAGCGCGACCTTCCATTGCGCAATGATGACGTTTTAATTCTTCCAGCTGGCGTTGCGCGGCTTTGCCATCATTCACCGCTTTTGCGACACCCGCCGCTCCACCGACTAGTGAACCGAGAACTCCCAGTAATGGTAGAACTGGTAAAATACCACCCCGTTTTGTTACTGGAAGTGCTCGTTTTCGGATTTCTTTCTTGGACGACTTCTTTTTCTTCGTGCCCATACCCATGCCGATTTTCGTTTTGGCTTTCATAGCAGCCCAAACGACTGCAGCAGCAGCTTTCTCGCCTAGAGTTGATTCTTTCGAAGTTATGCGTTTCCACGCTTTCGCAGCGAGAATCTCATCCGCCGCGTGCCGATCGGTGAGATTGTTGCTACGCGAATAGGCTATATCGTGCTCACGACACGCCGCGTCCAATGAATTAATGCCTTGGTCACCTCTGACCATCGTTTTACCAAGCGAGTTCCAGGACCACAAAATTGATATCCGGGAATGTGTAGTTCGATAGGAAGCGCATTTATCGCGCGATTCAATAGACTACTGCCGACTTTGACTTTTGTCGACGACATTCACTACAGTCCCTGATCAGCGGTGCTGGATCGTCGATATGTGTTTGCTGCCACGGACGATTGTAATGTTCCAAACACCGACGATACTGCTGAACCTCTGAATCGACTCTTAAATGTTCCGGGAGTCTATCCTGTAAATCGTCAATATACTTTGCAAATTCGCGTAACAGAACAATCTTCGGTATATATTTCAGTTGTTTGGAGGTTAGCTGTCGAATATCACGGGTATCTGTCAACAGGAGGAACATTTTCTAAACTGAGTGTTTCCAAGATTGATGCGCTTATATTTTTCGAAAAGTCCGTATCTCGGAAAGTAACATTATTATATATGGTTGGATTCGGAATTCAATGCTCTTTAATTTTTGTTCTTACAAAATTTTTGAAATTTACGAAAATAATGAGTGGAGGGGTGAGTGGGAAGGGTAAATTTAATATTTTGAAAAATTTGAGTTGACAGGTGCAAAGAGCGTCAAATACTGTAAAACTCTTACATTTATTATGTTTTCATATCTCTCATATTTTAGAAGATATTTGATAAAAACAAGAAAATCCGTTTTTGTCAAGGGGTCATTTCAACCCCCTAAACCTCGAGATAAGCACATATAAAAAATACGTGTCTAATATTTTTTGATCCTCTACAACATATCCAATGCCCATTCAAATCGGTGAGGGACGCCCCCGACCGTTCCCTTGTTAGTGTTATCCAGGGTCAACTGCGTGGAAGTAGCATGAATCTGATCCCTTGTGTGTGTGTGTGTGTGTGTGTGTGTGTGTGTGGTGCGCGCGTGTGCGTGTGCGTGTGTGCGTGTGTGCGTGTGTGCGTGTGTGCGTGTGCGCGTGTATGTGCGTGTGCACGTGCGCGTGTGTGCGTGTGCGCGTGTGCGCGTGTGCGTATGTGTGTGCGTTCGTGTGGCTAAACAAGTGTGAATGTGTTATATGTATAGTCGTGATAGGTTGCAAAACAAACGATTAAAAACTGTCATCTCTCTTTAATGATTCAAAACCTTTTACTCCGTGTTTTAAAATAAATTTTACTCAGTGTGTTAAAGTAAATGTTGAAAGTGGCTCCCATTTACTTCCTGATAATATGATATGTCAATCTTTGATAGAATGCATAAATGGCTCTACGATTCGTCTCAAAAGGTATCAAATCTATTTCATCCCTTATTCGCTGTATCAATTCTTGGATGCTTTCAAGTTTTGTTTTGTAAACCTTACTCTTCAGGTGTCCCCATAGATAATAATCAAAAGGATCTAGTGACCGAGGTGGCCAATTCTCTCCTTCCTCATTTCTGTTCCTTCTTCCTACCCATCGTAATGGAAAAATCTCATTTAAAATTTGACGTAGCCCTAAACCAAAATGAGCAGGAGCTCCATCATGCTGAAACCATATTTCTTCGAAATTATTTGGAAAAATATTTCGTATGGCTGGAATTATTTGATCTACAGGTAATCTGTTATACCTTTGAGCGTTCAGATTTTCTTCAAAAAGAAACAGTCCTATTAAGTAGCCATTTATTATTCCACGCCATACATTTATTTTTTGTGGGTATTGTGTGTGAGTTTCCCGCACCCAATTCGGATTCTCATCTGACCATAAACGAAAATTTTGATTATTAACTTCTCCCGTTAACGTGAAAGTTGCCTCGTCTGTAAAAACAATTTCATAAGGGAACATGGGCCGGACATCTATTAGTGCCATCATTCTTTCACAGAAACCTATACGACGCTCCACATCTCCGTCTTGCAATTCTTGAACATATTGTAATTTATATGGATGGAACTTGTTTTTCTTTAAAATTCTCCAAACGGACTTGGGAGCAATTCGTGAATTTGAGCGGCTCTGTTAATGGTAGAATTGGGACCTTCAATAAATCTGTCTGCAGAACATCAAGTTGTTTTTCTTCGTTAATGGCAGGTCTCCCTGATTTAGGGCGATTGTTTACGCTACCAGTTTCTCTGAAACGTTCCATTGTTTTTAAGACAGTGGACTTATTAATTCGACGATTCGGATACGTCTCATTAAATAATTGAGCGACAGCAGCGTACGACCGTTCGTTATCACCCCATCCATGCATCATGAGGATAGTGATTCTTTCACGTTCCGACAATTCGCCAGCCATTTTTAAAACATTTAATTTTTAATCTGCCTAAGATCTATGAGAACTGATTTTAAGTAGCCGTGAGAACAATTGATTTTAAGTAGCCGGTTGAGCCCGGATAACACTAAGTGCATGAAATTTCGAAATTTGAACGGCCGCCATTTTTAATAGGGGGGTCGTAGCGACTTAAAATTTTAAGGGTATATTTGTTATGAAAAGACCTTTCAAATGAGCCCCCACTCAACCCTTAGTCCAATTTAAAATTTTCAACCCCCCTTTTACCCCCGCGTACCAGGGGGTGGGGAATGATCGGTATTCATATCATAGGGTAGCTTTTTTGAAAAATCAAAATACGTGTTTTACCGTTTTTTGATATTTTCATTTTTACAAAAATTATTTAAGGGTTTCCACACTTTTGACAAACCCTATATAATAAATTGTTATCATAATTATAAAAATATTAGTTTTATTTTCACAAATATACGATAAAAGAATAAAGATGTTATTTTGAAAAACAAGAGTGTTTATTCTATTGTAATAAGTTCATGATTCTATCTCTTTTAGCTACTGCAACAAAGTCTTCATCAAATTCATCTGCACCGTCGTTAGCTATTCGCATCGCTTCTTCTATTAGTACTTCATGTTCGAAATGGATTTCATTTCGATCAATTAAAAAATTATGCATTATATACGCTGCTGCTATTATAATATTTCCTAAAGCTGGAGTAGATATATCTAAATACTTTAATCGTCGGAACTTGCCTTTCAATAGACCGATTGCTCTTTCAATGATAGATCTGATATTACTTAACTTTACATTGTAATTAGTTTGTTTTGCCGTCAAGTGACCATTATCACGAAATGGTGTCATCAGATTAATCATTAATGGGTAAGCAGAGTCTCCTATAAGATGCATATTAGGGAATAGCAAAGGATTCCCAACATTATTTAATTGTGTAAATAATTCACTTTGTCTGAATACCCGAGCATCGTGCATTCGCCCAGGCATTCCAAGAAAAACATCAATAAAACGCGCCTTGTGATCGCATACGCCTTGTAATATGATCGAGTGCACCTTGTTTCTATTATAAAAATCTATAGGATTGTCTCCTGAAGCTTTTATTAGTATATGGCAATCATCGATCACGCCAATAATACCGGGAATACCACGAGAACGTCTTTGAAAAATAATTGCTTCGTCATTACATTTCCTTCTGTCGGGCCATATTATATAATTTGGCAATAAACCATCTAGAATCGTGACAATTTCTTTGAATACATAGTGACCAGTGCTTTTGGCTAATCCAAAACGATCTCCAGCAGCAAGAAAACTTTTTGGTTTAGCTAAAATCCAGACTGAAAACATAACTTTTTTCCTTAAATTCATAAGATAGTTTGGATTCCCAGGAACAGCATTGTAACGATACATCCGATTTCTAGTATCGTTACGCTGACTGCCGCTGAACATCACGCGGCAGTCAGCTGAGCGCGCACCCCCTACCAGCGCGGCCACAGTGTCCCAACAAGTGCTCGCCCGAACCTAGCCGACCACCCGGCAGCAACGTTCGGGAACGATCGGCCGTCGAGCCGAACCTGTGGCATCGCCAAAAAAGTAACAATCGGCAACCGCCGCATAATCCCGATTAATTCCGAGCATAATTAATCAACGAAGAGAACCGAAGACCAGACAAGACGAGTATATAATCCCGGAAGTTTTTGACAAGAAGACAGTCTTGGGACAGTCTTCGAACAGTCTTCGAAGAGTCTTTGGAGTTCCGCTTCATCGGATCATTTTTCCTGAGAAGTATCAGAGAGTCTACCGAGCGCCCCTGCAGAACGAGTAAGTAATCTACCAGGCCACAGTCGCCGGCCACCGCGGTTACTTTCCGTCTTTGCGATACAGAGATCGGACGGCGAGTTTGCCATTACTCCGGTGTGTTTTCCGGAACGATTCTCATTTTGTGCCGTCTTTGCGATACAGAGATCGGACGGCGAGTTTGCCGTTACTCCGGTGTGTTTTCCGGAACGATTCTCAGTTTGTGCCGTCTTTGCGATACAGAGATCGGACGGCGAGTTTGCCGTTGCTCCGGTGTATTTTCCGGAACGATTCTCAGTTTGTGCCGTCTTCGCGATATAGAGATCAAGCGGCGAGTTTGCCGTTGCTCCGGTGCGTTTTCCGGAACGATCGCTACGAACGCTCGTAATAATCGTATCGTCTGTGTGAACTAGAGTTTGGCTGGCGAGTTTGCCATTGCTCTGGCGTATTCTTCGGAACTTGTGCAACTAATTGACTTCTTTCCTTGCAGTCAAGATCAAATGGCACAGTGGCCGTTTACCCCGGTGCGTTCTCCGGGACAAATTACACAGCCTGTTTCTGTTGGGCTTTTTATAGGATCTAGGATCGACCTCGCTCATCGGGCCCGGCGACCCCGTCTCGCTTGGGCCTCCCCGGTCACCGCTTCATAATATCGCGCGTTCGCCTCAGCATAAGAGCATTAATTAATCGAACAGCCAAGAAAGACCGAAAGTTAAACGAATCGTTTTTGTCAATTTCTTTTGTGCTCGATCGCGAGAACCGCGCCTCGGCTCGCGGCCTCTTGTACATACACCGCCGAAGATAACGCGCCGCGTCGCGTTTTTATACTGCTTCTTCTCACCGTCTGCTACGGCCGTCGGAGCCGTTTAAATCTTTTCACGGACCAGACGTGATATTCACACGACTACCGCGTGTATATCCGCTACCACGCGTGTCATCGGTCGTGTTCAATATATTAGCTACCGTAGATAGATGTCTTATCGTTAAAATATTTCCCGCGTCAACTAGAATGAATATTGTCTAATTAGTTCGCCGGCGACCACTATCTCGACAAAGATAGTTGTCCTGTCAGCGTCGATTCACGTATTCACGCACACATTATGTAAACACCCGAAACGAGATCTCCACGGCACGTGTCAAACAGAATTGTGCTGCGTCAAGCGAACTCAGCGTGCAAAATAACAAACAATAAAACATTCACACATACACACACACACACCAAGGAAACCGACTCATAATTATTCACCTTCTCCTAATAAAATTTCTGCTCGCGATTCGCTACAAACGACCACCTGCGCAGGGTCGGATCGAGAAAGAAACCTAACTCAGAGACGCGACCGTTACAGCATGTCCAATTACGTTAACTAGCTCTTAAAAAAGTTGTTTACAAAATAAAATTGAATATCTGAATTAATCTTTATGCAAGTTTACATTTTCACTAAATATACTATAATGTACATCGAATGTTGCACGAGACATTCTAAAATGTTCTTTAAATAAGGAATCTTCATATTGAGGAACAATAATTTCATAATAATTTTTATTCCTGACCCTTTCATTACGTTGCTGTACTTGTAATTCATCCAACTTTGGTAATGGTTCTATCATTTCATTGAGTATAACACGTAATGCGTTATTTAGATCGTTTTTACCATCATCCACTGCAAATAACGCTATAATATCCAAATCGTTCATTTTCCCAATTATTAAACACGCTAATGCTTAATTTTTTCCGGCTCTTTCTTCACTTGATGGTTAAATTTAATCAGTTATTTCAATCGAATAGACTAATCGTATAAAAGGCTAAAAAAATAATGCAAGATCACGTGACACGCTATATTCTGAGGCTAAAATCCCCGTTCAGCAGACACTCCGTTCAGCAAATCCGTATCACTAAGCGCTCACTGATTATTCGCTCACCGATTTGCAACTGTTATAATCTGCTGAACGCGCCCATTGACGTATGCTTTCGTAGAGTTCTACGTCATCTCACGTATTCGCTGTAGCGTCGCAATTTATTGCATCTAGCAACACTGACCGGATTGCGTTTCTGGCATCATTAGATACAAGTCAGTAGATAGACTAGGGGGATTCTATCCCAAATTGCTAATTAATTATGCAAAAGACGTTATTTATTAATTAATATTTTTTAATTGATCCCCCCTCTTAATTGATCCCACCTCTTTATTGATCCCCCCTCTTAATTGATCCCACCTCTTTATTGATACCCCCTCTTTATTGATACCCCCTCTTAATTGATACCCCCTCTTTATTAGTACTCTCCTCCTCCAACCTAGAATGTTTGATTCTATGAGCAAGATGGCGGCCGTGACGTCACGAGAGAAAAACGCGTCGGGCTGTAGGTAAACTCGAACCTGGGCCCCGCGGGTTGCTATCGGACGCTCGAACCTCCTAGACCATTGCTGCCTGTTGCTAGTAGACGTCTAGTGAAGGTTCTTACAGTATGTGTGCGATGACGTCACGCATACGTCAAAAGAAAAAAACATGGCGGCGGTGTAGGCCAGACTCGAACCTGGGTCCCGCGGTTGCTATCGAGCGCTCGAACCTTCTAGACCACCGTCGCCTATTGCTAGTAGACGTCACGTTACAGGTAAGATGGCGACCGTGACGTCACGCATACGTCAAAAGAACAAACATGGCGGCGGTGTAGGTAGGGTCGAACCTGGGCCCCGCGATTATTATCGAACGTCTATCGGACGTCTCTCGAACGTCTCTCGAACGTCTATCGCACATCTCTCGAACGTCTATCGGACGTCTCTCGAACGTCTATCGGACGTCTCTCGAACGTCTATCGGACGTCTCTCGAACGTCTCTCGAACGTCTAATAATCATCATACCACAAAGAACTGTATTTTTATCAAACACAATTATCATATATAATCCTAAGAGGTGAAAGGGGATAAGCGTGTTGGAAGAAACATCTGTACATTTGAAATAATGTTTTTATTAAGTGTCGTACAATTTTTGACACGTCCGGGAGAGAAATGCCGTTTATAGCACTTTGTTTCGGGTATTATTCTTTCCTCGTACATGCTTTCTGATGTTAGTTGAGTTTGCGCACTATGTCGGTTAGCGGGCTGTATTCAACTACACGAGCATGCAGGATCAGACAGTACGCGGTAGTATTCGCCGGTATATTCTCCTTACACTCAAATTCTATCCGCACATCTGCAGTGGTGCTCTTGACGGACTCATATTGACGCGAACAATCGATAACCACGAAAGGACCTTGCCGCAGAAAGTCGGTAGTTGTTAATCATACCTCAGCACTGTTGCATCCATAATACGATTTACGAAAACGTCTATACATATCGTAAAGTACGGCGTATTTATTTTTTGTAAAGTCCAAATTCATGTCGTCGTACGGATAACACTCTGAATTCAGATAGAGCTTCACGTTGATCAATTTGCAGTCATCGAAACGAGTTATATTTTCCGACATGACATTCTTCCGGCCAGTCTGCAGCGCAAAGATAACGTATCGAGGTTTCTCCAAATTAGTAGCAGTTTTGACGGTCCACAAGTGTTTGGTCGTGCTTTGCAGTAGAGGAAATTCATACAGATCCCACGAGCGGAAACTCATACTCAGGTATCGTCCATCCTCCAAAGTTTTCAGCATGGAAAGTTTATTGATATCATTCAAGATTACGTGAGGCATTCGCCATTATATCTTGAATAACTCAATCTTAGGATCTATCTGAAGATCCTAGTAGACTGTTGTTGTCGCTGCGCGATCGTAATAGAATCAATTCGTGACGCGCGTTAATCACTATACGCTTGTAGTCTTCACAGAATCCTAGCAACACGCTGAGTGGTACGCAAAAGTTGAAGTACCCGTCCGGCGAAATAGTGTCAGTCGTATCCCACGCGGCATTTTTCATGACAGCATTTTCGTCTGAAGATATCGATACATAGTTTTTGAGCGTTGAAGTTATTCCCACGTTTCTGTTATGATCAATCTCCACACCATTCAGTTCATAACGGATCTCATCAAATATGAATGCAATGCAATTATATCCCAACGTTACAGTCGCACCATCGACTGCAACTTGTTTCGTTACCTTCCCCTCGACATAGAGATAACTCTCGCATGGCAATATGTATAAATCCTGCTGCTGTATTCGTATCTCATCGCTATATCCAAACGTTGTGTTAGCGTAACGTTGGGTTGTACGTATGTGTCTCAATCTTGACGACGCGATCGTCAAAGACCATCACTTCCAATCGTCCAAAGATCGTCACTTCCAATGTTCAAAATGTCAATCATCTTTCTGAATCGTTTCGTACGATAAATCCCAGAGATTTCATAAATTCAACGTTCAACGCGCTGAGTTTCTTTCGAACGAGGGATTTTGTACTCTTAATCGCTGTCTCGTAAAAAATATATTTCCAGCTTGTTTCTTCTGTTCTACTTGATTCACTACAAGCATTTCATAGATTATGTTTATTATTGTTGCTGTCGATTACGTGCAATCTAATGGTAATCTCTTCTTTTCGAAAATTGAGCGATTGTCCTTCTTGATCAACGACACGCACTGTTAAATCATCGATAGACGTTCGAGAGATGCCCGATATACGTTCGAGAGACGTTCGAAAGACGTTCGTAAGACGTTCGAGATACGTTCGAGAGACGTCCGATAGACGTTCGAGAGACGTCCGATAGACGTTCGATAATAATTGCGGGGCCCAGGTTCGACCCTACCTACACCGCCGCCATGTTTGTTCTTTTGACGTATGCGTGACGTCACGGTCGCCATCTTACCTGTAACGTGACGTCTACTAGCAATAGGCGACGGTGGTCTAGAAGGTTCGAGCGCTCGATAGCAACTGCGGGACCCAGGTTCGAGTCTGGCCTACACCGCCGCCATGTTTTTTTCTTTTGACGTATGCGTGACGTCATCGCACACATACTGTAAGAACCTTCACTAGACGTCTACTAGCAACAGGCAGCAATGGTCTAGGAGGTTCGAGCGTCCGATAGCAACCCGCGGGGCCCAGGTTCGAGTTTACCTACAGCCCGTCGCGTTTTTCTCTCGTGACGTCACAGCCGCCATCTTGCTCATAGAATCAAACATTCTAGGTTGGAGGAGGAGGGGGGATCAATAAAGACGGCTTAATTGATACCCCTCTTTATTACCAATAAAGAGGGGGGATCAATTAAGGGGGGATTAATTAAAAAATATTAATTATTAAATAACGTCTTTTGCATAATTAATTAGCAATTTGGGATAGAATCCCCCTAGTCTATCTACTCAAGTCCAATCTCCCTTTTATTTCTTTGATGTGATTTTAGTTTTCCTTATTTTGTTTGAATGTACAATTCTTGGTTTTCCTTTAAATTAGAGTTTAATATTACCATTCAGTAAAATATCTATTATCATATGAGGTCCGGAATATTGATCTCCAAGTTTTCCTCATTTGGTTCACATAAGAAAAAAACTTGGTCATTAATTTGAAATTCTTGTGGATTTAATTTTTGATCGTAATATAATTTTGATTTAATTTTTGAAGCTATTAAACATTCTCTTACCAATTCTTGAAGATTATGAATATTTGTTATTAATTTGCTCAAATAATCATCATATGTTCTTTCTTTTTCTTGATCATTATTGACTTCACTGGATTATCTGGCAATTTTTTCTAACACCAACTCATATGGAGTATATCCAATATGTATATGTGTGTTATATAAAAATGTGGCATATTCTAATAATTCATCTCATTCTGTGAATTTATCTACAAATTGTTTCAAATAATAAATTAATAGTAAATGTGATCTTTCAAAGACTCCATTTACTTGTAGATAAAATGCTGTCGTTCTGTATTGTTTAATTCTAAATTGTTTGAGAATCTCTTCATTAAATTACTCATGAAATTACTTCCTTGACCCGTTAATACAGCTTTAGGAGCACCAAAGATACAAATAAAATTTTTTAATAATGCATTAGCTATATTTGTTGCAGACATAGATTTTAAAAGAATAGCGAGAGAAATTTTTGTTAGGTGATCTTGGATTATTAGGATATAAAGATTTCCTTGAGTGGTTTCAGGTAACGGTCCAACTATATCCATTGATATATTTTCGAATGATTTATATGGTGTATCTGTTATTATCATTGGTTATTATCATTTTGTTATTACTCAAACTAGCTTTTTAATTTGACTTTGTAAACATTGTTTGATATAATTTTGAATTTCAAATTGAAATTTTCCCATTAAAAATTTTGTCTAATTCTGTTACAAATTGTCACTCCTTTATGTCCTCCTATCATTGATGAGTGAGCTTCTTCAATTATGTCTTTTCTTTTTCCTATTTCGGGAATTTTGACTAGTCCATAATAGATAATTAGTTTTATTGAAAATCCAACTTTGCTTTTTGAATTTCATTAAAAATTTGTTCCCATTTATAGTTATCTAATTGTGATGTTTTCGCAATTTATTATTTTTATAGAGTTTTTGTTATAACTTTACGTAATTTTATTGATAAATTTCGTAATATTTCATCAGTTATTTTTTCCTTAATATTATTTTTACATATGAATATTAAATGTATTTTATTTCCCCTTTTTTTATAATTAAATCTCCTGGTTTTGTTTTTCTTATTTGTGGAATTAAATTTTGAGATCGGAGTTCTTTTGCTCCTTGATCACAAGGTTCCCCGTCTGCCGTTAAGA